AGACAATGAAAGGTCCAGGGAAAAGTCATCAGTTTGTCTATTTATCGAAATCAGATCGAACAAATACAACTTATTAGCTGTAAAATTGTTCCATTAAATTGTTTTAAATCCCAATTTAATCATGACTTCAATTCTATAAACGTAAAATAATTATTTATTTAATTTAATATGAAATAATTTAATATGAATTACTTAATATGAAGTTATCGTGATTAATTCTGACTACCTTTTTCCTATCCTTGTTCATTTAGGGGCCGTATAGCAAAAAATATTAATTAATTTATTAGTTTGTTTATTTAATTTAGTATGAAGCAATCATGAGCAATTCTGGCTACTTTTTTTTTACTTTTTGTTCATCCGCAAGCTGTACTCTTCCACTAATAAAAAACGTTAATTTGGTAATTTATTTACTTATTTCATTCAATATAAGGATATCATAAGTAATTCTGACTAAATTTTTTTAATCCTTGTTCTTTTACTCACAAATAATACTGATTAATATACACTGAAGAGCCAAAAAAACTGGTATACCTGCCTAATATCGTGTAGGGTACCCGCGAGTACGCAGAAGCGCCGCAACACGACGTGGCATGGATTCGATCAATGTGTGAAGTAGTGCTGGAGATAATTGACACCATGAAACCTGCAGGGCTGTCCATAAACCAGTGGAAGTAAGAGGGGGCGGGGATATCTTCTGATCATCACGTTGGAAGGCATCCCAAATATGTTCAATAAAGTTCATGTCTGAGGCTTTTGGTGGCCAGCGGAAGTGTCTAAATTCAGAAGAGTGCCGCTGGCCACCAAAATCCCCAGACATGAACATTATTGAATATATTTGGGATGCCTTGCAGCGTGATGTTCAGAAGATATCCCCACCCCCTCTTACTCCCTCTTATGGACAGCCCTGCAGGATTCATGGTGTCAATTATCTCCAGCACTACTTCACACATTGATCGAATCCATGCCACGTCGTGTTGCGGCGCTTCTGCGTACTCGCGGGTACCCTACTCGATATTAGGCAGGTATACCAGTTTTTTTGGCTCTTCAGTGTATTTAATCAAAAATGAAGTTTTTACGTGTAATCCTGATTACCTTTTTACATTCTTTGTTCAATTACGAGCTGTATTCTTCTGCTAATAGAAAATATTAATTTAGTTGTCTCACTAAACATGTTTTCCTCTGTAATCCTGATTAACTTATGTAAAATTTTGTTAAATCATGAGTTGTACTGTTCTAGTAACAGAAGAAATTAATTTATTTATTTGGTTTTATTTTTTATCAAGCTGTCATGAGTAATTTAAACTACCTTTTTTAATTCTCCGTTCAATTACGAGCTGAACTATTCTACAAACAGAAAATATTTATTTATTTATTTGGTTTTATTTCGTATTAAGCTGTCATGAGTAATTCTAACTACCTTTTTTTCATTCTTTATTCATTTACGAGCTGTACTATTCTACTAACAGAGAAAATATTTATTTATTTGATTTTATTTTGTATCAAGCTGTCATGAGTAATTCTAACTACCTTTTCTTCATTCTTTGTTCATTTACGAGTTGTACTATTCTACTAGCAGAAAATATTCATTCATTTATTTGGTTTTATTTTATTGTTGTTGTAGTTCATTTACGTCGCATTAGAGCTGCACAATGGGCTATTGCCACGGTCTGGGAAACAGCCCTGAGGATGATCCGAAGACATGCCATCGCAATTTTGATCCTCTGCAGAGGGGATGGCACCCTTGCTTCGGTAGCCCGACGACCTGCAAGCGAAGTCGAGTCCTTTACGGTAGAACAGTTTATCGAGGACCAATACCGCGCACCCTCAGTCCCTATACAGACTGATCTAAGTGGACACCCACCAGCACACTGACCGCAGCCGGTGATGCTTGACTTTGGTGATCTGCTGGGAACCGTGTCTTAACGATCAGTCCACTGCGGGACTGGTTTTATTTTGTATCAAGCTCTCATGAGTAATTTTAACTACCTTTTTTCATTCTCTGTTCAATTGTGAGCTGTACTACTCTACTAACAGAAAATATTTATTTACCTATTTGATTTGATTTTGTATCAAGTTGTCATGAGTAATTCTAACTACCTTTTTTCATTCTTTGTTCAATTACGAGCTGTACTATTCTACTAACAAAAAATATTTATTCATTTATTTGGTTTTATTTCGTAATTACCTTTTTTCATTCTTTGTTCAATTACAAGCTGCACTATTATACTAACAGAAAATATTTATTTATTTATTTAGTTTTATTTTGTATCAAACTGTCATGAGTAGTTCCAACTACCGCTTTTTATTCTTTGTTCAATTACGAGCTGTACTATTCTACTAACAGAAAATATTTATTCATTTATTTGGTTTTATTCTGTAATTACCTTTTTTCATTCTTTTTTCAATTACAAGCTGCACTATTCTACTAACAGAAAATATTTATTTATTTATTTTTCTTTTATCTGAAGCTATCGCGAATAATTCTAGCTATTTTTTTTTTTATTCTTTGTTCAATCCAGAGCTGTACTTTTCTACTAATAGAAAATATTTATTTATTTATTTTATTTAAAGCTATGATGGAAAATTCTGACAACCTTTTTTTCTAAGTTAAATATAAATAAAAAAATACATATATTCACTTGATTATTTACTCCTAACTGTTATAAAATTTCAAAAGAAAAAAGATTTCTTTAATCCATCAACTGCTCCAACCTTAAGACTCGATTTATATGTTTTTGAAGTTAAATATAAAGTAGAATTTGACCTCTAAAATAATGAAGGATTTAAGATTCAGTTACTTGCGTAATCTCCCACACTAGAATAGCATTTAAGTTCCATTTCTAAGTCGAAGTGACTTGCAAGTATTCTGAGTCAATATCTTAAGTAAGTGGAATTTCCATCCTCTACATTTTTTCTTTTCTAACTCCTTTCACGATATTATCTAAATATAAAATTATTGACAGAACCTTTTGAATCTTTTCTAATTGCATAAGATTTATAAATCACGTATAATCATTATTTATTTTGAAAAATTATACATTTATTGTTAATTACATATTATCTTTATTACGACAAAGATTTGGTTTATATTTTTAAATACTAAAAAATACTTCTGATTCACGATATTATCTAAATATAAAATTACTGACGAATCATTTTAAATCTTTTCCAACTGCATAAGATTTATAAATCAAGTATAATCATTATTTATTTTGAAAAATTAAACATATATAGTAAATTACATATTATCTTTATTTACAACAATGGTTTGGTTTATATTTTTAAATACTTAAAAATAGATGTAAAATTTTTTTACTATAACTATTCACGACGGTACCATTTGCATAACCAACGCTTTTTTACACTTTCCGCTTGAGATTCTACGTAGTGGTATAACGATTGATATTACAACTGTAAGCAAGATTTTTTTACAGTGTAAAAAAAGAGCCGTGGTGGCTCAGGGGGTAAAGGGCTTGACTCGTTTCGCGGTTTTCCTATCCATGTAACGCTAATGCGGGTTAGTTCAATCAAAAAGTCCTCTCCATACTTTATACAGTTCTTCTGTCTTCTGGATTGGGTTCAAAATTACAAGACTACAAAGTTGAACATTGGTAGTCGTAAACTCAAACTGGGCCGGCTGCTCTACGACGGTTATAAAATAACAGTGTAAACAATTTAAAGTTATGAAGAACATTGTTTTGATTTTCATGAATTAACTTCAAATTTTAATCTGTAGTGGTAGTCAAAATCATTATAAATCAACTTTATTAACCCTTTATAAAACCATAAGCATAATTATCACCAACTTTATTAATTTTTAAATGTCAAAGGAAAACTTGTTTCCTCCTATGATTTGTCATCCATTTGCTGATAACTTCAGAAAATGCAAAAACAATACAAATTATTTTCCTAAATGTAAATAACAGTAAAGGTTTGCGTGGGACCAAGAAGAAGGGCTAACATTTGGAAACTATTTTCTTTGGTGCGTCATTGATCATTTCTCATCATTGCTTGTCGTTACAAACACAGAGCTTTTATAAATTAGCTTATTTATAAGCACAGAAGTTCAAGTTTATGGCAAGTTCTCTACAGCAGATAAAGCTTTCAAAATAGTACACACCTTATAATTTAATCTCAATTTCAAAAAATATTTTAACATAACTACAAAAAGAACCTTATGGGATTAAGAAAAATACACAAATATATACATTATGTAACAACTCTACCTATAAAAAAAAATCACCTGCGAAAATCAGAAGATTCGACAGCTATACATTTGTTATAATATTCCCGCTGGTATGAATTTGCGGGACCACTATATAAGTTCAACATGAAGCTTACAGAAATATAGAACAAAAAAGAACAAAATTTTTTACATCATATATTATTGTATTCTTGTAAGCAATTAAGTAAAATCACCTGCGAAAACCAGAGGATTCGACAGCTACACATTTATTATGATATTCTTGGTAGTACGAATTTGCACGATTACGATATGAGTTCAACAAGAAGCTTACAGCGATATAGAACAAAAATAAAAAATATAAACAGAATTTTTTTACCATATTATATTCTTGTAAGTATAAATTATGTCGTGAGAAATCGTTGTTCTATAACAATGTGATCATCATTCGAAACTAAGAACTTTTTTTTTATCTTCTCAAACAATATTCTAAACTACCTTATAATTGTGTCTGCCTGAATACTTCATAAAGCAAGGCATATCAGGTCAAGAAAAAGGTGAGTCGAAACTATTGCTTCAGTTTTGTGGGTTTTTTCCTTTGCATTAAAGAATGGTAATTTAGTTTTTATTTTCGTCGCAAATTATCTATTCTTCAACATTTCCCCTCAGGATGAATCCACACTTTCAATATTAACATGACGTAGATGCATCCGGTTTCTTTCGTCGAATTCGAACCGGCATAGCAGCAATCAGATTAAGATTCCCTGTCGTTTTTGTTGCTGTAACATTCAAATATCTCTTCACTTCGCAATCTTTTACGTTTGAAGAAATCCAGTGAGTAAAGATAAAATCTTGTATTTTTCATGGTTTATTTCTGTTAAAAGGAAAATCTTTATTAAGCATTTTTAAAATTAGCGCAAGCTGTTGATCTTTAATGACCTAATTAATATTTTGTAGTTATTTTGGTCGTAAATATTATTCTTTTTTCTTAATAACAAGTTATTGTGTAACAAAATGTATGCATATTCGTAGTGATATGTATATCCTCTTAAGAACCCGGCGTCTATTAAATTGGGCAAAGCTTGGTATAGTTTTAACTCTCTCAATCATTTAAATAATAATTTATGAGTATTTTTTCTATTTATATATTTTTACAAAGCAATTGTCTATGTAAAGATATATTTGTATATGTGATTATCTCCACCTTTGTTGGTCGGTTTACTTTCGTTGGTAAAGTGATTAATTACAAACAAAAATCATAAGAAAGGTAAGAAATTCAATCTTATTTAGTTATTGAAATTGTTATTGCAATTATATTGTTTAGTTATTGTAATTGCAATTTAGTTATTGTAATTTAGTTATTGCAAATTCGACTCGACTTTAGGCATATAAATTTCTCATTTTTTAAGTATAATGTATTGCGTCTCATGACCAAAATGTCAATAAATAAACTATTAAAGTATCCTACAGTATACAAAAAAAATTTAAAAACTAAAATTTATCATTTTTTATGCAATAACTAAGGCAGTTAATACAATTCATTAATTGAAATTATTTTTCAAAAAGAATATTGTGTTATATTTAAAATTTTACTTTATTCTAAGTAAAACATTTTTATTGCGATTTTTGAGTAAAATTCGCATATTTTATTATTATTTTAATCTCGTGCCTCATTAGTTTAAAAAAAGTCATCCAAAAACATGGTCGTTTTTGGTAAAAAAGATTTTAAAAAATGTTTGAACGCATGTCTTCCAGCAATTTCATACAAAATGCATTAAAATGAGAAATGTGTTTGAACTTGATTTTTTTATTTGAGTTTATAAATTTTAGTTCATTTCGTTTTATTTAACAAAACTAACAATGATATTTACACCGCTTCAGTGCTAAATTGTATTTCTAAAAAACTAAGGAATACTTTTTTCTAAAAAAAAATATTTAAAGAAATAAAAATAAATTTTATTAATTTTAAGTTTTAACCAGGTTTTACTTTAATTGTTATAAAGGTTCGTCAGCTCTGTCTTAACATTTTTAAATACAATGCTGCCTTTTTTTGAAAATAAAATAAGTGTACCTGATCTCGAAATAAGTATACCACACTTAATCTCCTGAGAACCAAGCTTTAAATAATTTCAAAAAATGCGTTTTTTTATTTTGAAATACGTATAAAGGAATATGCTTACAAGAAAGTAAACTCAGTAATAGGATTAAAAAAAAGTTTTAAAAATTACGTTTAAATAAACTTAATTATTATTTTTAATGATTGCATCAGAATAGTAGATTTTAAGTTTTAGGTTTTTTTTGTACACATTTTAGAATACTTTTATAGAATGTTTCTTCACATTTTGGTCTTGAAACAAATTCAACTTCCTTGCAATAAAGAATTCGTACCAAGGAGTAAAACCATTTAATTGTATACAAAGACAATCGTTTTTTACAAAAGCATACGAATAGAAAAAAAATGACAAAATATTATTTTTTAAGTGAATAAATATATGCTGAATATGTTGTTCACCCTGTTGGAATTTTCATTCTAAAATTATAGTAAAATAACAGGCAGCAGTCTGTTTATTCGATTAACCGTCAAATTTACGTTAAAGAAAATTTTTTGCCTCTACGTTTTGAAACAATTAACAACTACTTTGGTTATAAAACCAGAAATTCAAAACTGTATCTTTTTTAACCATTTACAAATAGCAAGGTTTCAAAACCATAAAAGAGAAATTTAAATTAACGTAGGAGTTAGGCTTTTCGTTAGGTAATGGGTATCGGAGAGTGTAGGTCACAATTTAGGGAGTGCAGGACACTGGAAACTCTTCATGCGTTGAAGGGAAAAGCGGTTGGCTTAGTTGGTAGTGTCAACACTGGGACTTGAACCCCAGGTCTAACGATCATGAGACTGATACATTACTCCTCTCGGCTATAATATGCACGCAGTTGCAAGGAACTAGGCGGTTTCATTAGGGGTGCTTAATTGGTGCGGAAAAATTCTGACTGTTTAACCGTATTAGGTAAGCAGTTAATAAATGGTTTTTCTTACAGTTAACAGCTTGATTACCATTTTATTTACGGTTATTTGACTGGTTTGTTTGAATATAATAAAATAGCAATTGAATAAATTGTTATTGAACTATTTTTTCCGAGAAATTACCTACAGTACAATTTTATTGTTGTCCAAAAAACGTTATAAAAGTTCTATAAAATACTTTTTATGAAAGAAATAGAAAATACTTTTTTCTACAATATGTAAAAATTAAAATTTATCATTTCCTTGTGTAGTAATTATAAAAAAATACTATTCTAGTACAATCAATTGAATTTTTTATGGCATTTATGAGTTTTTAAGCTACATATTTCTAAGTAAAAATCGTAATTTCGGTAAATATTTAGCCTGTTAACTAGGAAATAAACTTTTGTTCACCTCGCTCCAAAATGTAATTTTTTTTTATTCACAGTTATAAGTAATAGCACACCTCAAGTAGTTTCCATGACGAAAAATGACGTCGCCCATTTCTGTAGTAGTTCGTGTGTGACGAAATATTTCGTCATATCTAGTAAGCAGGTCAAAGGTCAGATCTCAGGAGGATATTGGGGCATCTGTCTGGACATTTTAGATTTTCGACACACCTACACACAATTGAATTTTAACAGACTTTGTAGGTTTTCATTTTGTTTCATATGCACAATGCGAAAAGAAAACTAAACACTTCAGTAACTTTTAATCTAATAATCGAATTTTCACGCACTAAAATACAATCGGTATGGTTGAAGGATCTTAACTTAAAATTAAAGTTGATGGTATTTCGAGATCAGAATTTACGAGATTACGAGAATTTACGAATTTACGGGATAAATTACGAGATCAGGCACAAAAATCGACTATGTCTGAATAACTGTTTTCGACGGATTTGATCGAGAGAGAAAACACATGAGTTGTAAGTTTTTACAAAATTTTAAAAAAAAAAAAGAAAAAAATTAGGAGCAAAATCAGTTAAATAATTTCTAAGCAATTTTTTTTTTGTAGTTGGTCAATAAATATTATAACGTGTAAATGAGGTAAAAAAAATTTCTGATCCATTAATTACAGCCGGAAAATTTCGAGCAGTATTAAATTAAACAATAAAAATAATAAATAATTGTTTTCTTATTAAATTATATTTGGGAACAAATTCTTGTTTTTTTTTTCCTTTTTATTTCAGTTGTATAAAATTTTTTAAGAGTGCTTGTATACTTTTGTACCTTGATACTTGGATTTCAAATCTGTAATCGGTTACTTTCTCCGAGCAACAGTTTAGTTTTTTTTTCTTTAAACTGGCATTTTTAATCTTTTATTTTTTTGTCGAAATGTACAAATTTAAAGACTTTATATAGAACAGAGGATCACTTAAATATTGCGACAAACTTCTAGAGATGTTAATGAGCATTATCAAGATTAAAATTGCATGAGAAACCATACCCGAAAATGTTGTCATTCGCCGCTAGGGGCTCTACCCTATTATGAAATGTTTCCTCGTCTGCTTCTGAGCAATTAACAAGAGGGTATCTCCCGTAGCCACAATCAATGACATTTCCGGGCATGAGTTCCTATACACTTTTAATCCTGATGATGCACCCTAACTTCCCTAGAAGTTCGTCGCAACATTTACGTGACTTCCTGGTATACATGACGGTTTTAAATTTATTCATTTCGACAAAATATAGACTAAAAATGACATTTAAAAAATGTCATTGTTTGTATAAAAAAAAAAGAGCGAAACTAATTTCAGACCCGAATTAGGCAAGATCAAGTATTTGTATAAATGCCACAAAAAATTTATTCCCCAGTGTTATCATTTAATAAACAAGTTTTATAATTTGAAAAAAAAATTTTGAATCGCCGAAATAATTCTTGAGTCCAAGATTTCGACCCGTATCCTGACCAGCCAATTGGCCAATTGTTGTCCAAAAAACGCTATAAAAGTTCTATAAAATACTTTTTATTAAAAAAATAGAAAATACTTTTTTCTACAATATGTAGAAATTAAAATTTATCATTTCTTTGTGTAATAATTAAAAAAAAATACTATTCAAGTATAATCAATTGAATTTTTTATGGCTTACTTTACAAAATAATACTTTTTTTTTAAATACTTTACAAATTTAAACTACCCTTCATATTCTGGGGATCAAGAACCCAAACGCGTCAAGAAAAAAATATAATTTAGTCGAAGAAAATAAGTTTTTGTATCTAATTATGTATTTTAAAATGTAATTTACCCAAATTAATTAGCATATGATGGTTAGACTTAGCGTTCCCCGATTTTTATTTCTACCTTATAACCCGATATAAACCATCTTTTCTTGACGAAATCCCAACTTATTAAAGTTCATTAGTAATTGAAGATCACAGGGAAAGAATGGTTTATGTTCATAAAAAATTGATTTTGAGAAAAAACGAATTTCGCGCGGTTACAATTTTCTTCCAGCACGGTCACACTTCACTAAATAACAACACTCGGAAAGAACCGATTTTTTACGTTATTGATTTGTTAAAACTTAGTAATTCTCAAAAGGCAACAGATGGCGATTGTATCGTCACTTTCGTGAAAAATGATAAATCGTTCTTTCTCTTGGTCTTTAATTCAGAACATACCCTACAACAATTAAAAAGACACTTTAAGTTTGTTTGTTTTTTTTAAATTTTTCAAGAAATACTTGTTTAAATTTGTAACTTCAGAAGTGTTTAGTTAATACGATTTTTCACACTTTACAATAAAGTTTAAAGCTCTCAAGGGCTTAAGGGACAGACAATAAATTGCGAACGAAAACAAGTAATTTTGAACACCCTATGATAGGAAATCAAGTAATAAGCTTGTAACTTACATCAATTACTATGATTGTTGCTTGCAATAACTGTACAAAACTTCGAAAATCTAGCTTTATTCAATCAAATCGAATTTTAAAGCAATAATTTTGTAAGCAATTTAAAATTGTTCCAAAAATTTTGTTTAATTTTATTGAATATTTTTAAAGTTATAGCAAGTAAACAAAAGACAAAAAAAACTAGTTTTTTATAAAAATAGAAATAAAATTTATTTCCATAAACATTTAAGCTAGATTTACGAAATTTTGCGTAATTATTGCATATAATATCCAAAATTGTTAGTTACAGATTTATTGTTACATTTTTTTCTTTTTTTACGTAGGGTGTTCAAAAACACTGCCATGTTTTGAATGTTATTTGGGTACATTTGTGTAAAATAGAACCGATAGATATTTTTTGGGTAGCATCATAGCAAGTTCGCGAAGTCTTTCAAATTCGTTTCGTTGAAATTTAAATTGAAAAAACGCGTTATATTGAGAATACTACTAGTATAATATTGCTAAATGACGCGCTTTTTTAAGCTTACGTGACAAAATCAATTGGAAGCAGTAACCATAAAAATCTGTAAGCCTTACAACGAATTTTAACCCCTAGCACCATCTGTGCTTATCTTTACACTGTCAATCATCCATTAAAACAGATTTTTAATTAGTATTTAAATATTTTTTTAATTTTCTTAAAATCGGCTGTACTTTTTTCAAGAATTTATTTGTTTTTGTAGTGCGTCAGAATTCATTTTAATGAAACAAAAATTTGTTTTAGATTTCCTATTTTGGTAATATAAACGGGCAATGGCACCACAATTAACAAAACCAGCTCCTGACTTTGAGGGGACAGCTGTTATTAACGGCGCTTTCAAACAAATAAAACTAAGTGATTATAAAAACAAGTACTTAGTTTTGTTCTTCTATCCATTGGACTTGTAAGTATAATTTATATACTATCAAAAAACATTTTATGCTGGGAGGGTGTTCTGTATTAACCTCCTTGAATATGTATAGTTAGATTTTTTTTTTTTAATTCTTGTTCTATTAGCAACGTTGAATAGCCGATCCATAACGGATTTGTCCAACCCATATCTAAATTTGTAGTCTTGAACTCAAACAAAAAAAAATAATAGTATACACGGATCAAGCATATTTAAGATGACCAGATTTATAAACCATGATTTGATGACAAATGAGCGGAGTGTTCTCGAAAAACTTAATGATTTAAGTACACCCATATATTTATGGAAAATATTAAGAGATGATTAAAACAACAAATTCCTTTTTTTTTTTAATTTATAACTGTGGGGAGGGTCGTAATCAACAATGTCAACCTTCATCTATGAAAAGGTACCCCCCCCCCATAGAATCGAGTTAACATGTCTTATATACTAGTGAAATGGAATTATATTTTTGTAGTGGTAGATATGCTACAGTAATCCCCCACCAGAATTATATCACTGATAGAATTCGATGAACGGATACCACTAGTTGATTTATAGCTATTTTGTGAGAAGCCGGGAGAACTGTATTAAGATCACCGTACTTTTTGAGTGCTGATCGTGAGAGCTGTATTAAAATCACGTGTATTAAGTTCACAGCTGTATTAAGTTCACTAGTGAATTGGAATTATATTTTTGTAGTGGTAGATACGCTACAGCAATCCCCCACCAGAATTATATCACTGATAGAATTCGATGAACGGATACCACTAGTTGATTTATTGCTATTTTGTGAGAAGCCGGGAAGGTTGTATTAAGATCACCGTAGTTTTTGAGTGCTGATTGTGAGAGCTGTATTAAAATCACGTGTATTAAGTTCACAGCTGTATTAAGTTCACTAGTGAATTGGAATTATATTTTTGTAGTGGTAGATATGCTACAATAACTAATATTAGGTGCTAAGCGATCTTGGCCATGACCTCTTGGTTAACGGCAAGTTTGTATGAAGAGGGTATTCTAAATCTAGTTGTAATGTTTGATAAGTGTTTAAACAAACTTGGCAATTATGAATCTGAAAATAAATTTGCCTCTTGTAAATTTTCTTTCGTTTGGTTTTTATTTTCAAACTGCCCTCGTATTTAATAACCGTTCGGGCATGCGCGAATCGCATTGACGTGCGATCGCATGCAGTGAGAATGCCCCATTTAGATTTTTGATTAAATCTACATAAGTTGGCCCTACTTTTTCACAGTCCCGCAGTGGACTGATCATTAAGACACTATTCCCAGCAGATCACCGAAGTCAAGCATCACTAGCTGCGGTCAGTGTGCGGGTAGGGACCATGGTGTGTGGTATTGGTCCTCGTTAAACTGTTCTACCGTAATGTGCTCGACTTCGCGGGCAGGTCGTCGGGCTACCGAAGCGGTGGTGCCATCCCCTCTGCAGAGGATCAAAATTGTAATGGCAGGTCTTCGGATCAACCACAGGGATGGGTCCGAGACCGTCGCCAATAGCCCATTGTGCAGCTCTAGTGCAACGTAAATGAACAACTACAACAGCAACTTCACAGTCCCGCAGTGGACTCATCCTTAAGACACGGTTCCCCGCAGATCACCGAAGTCAAGCATCACTGGCTGCGGTCAGTGTGCGGGTGGGTGACCACTTGGATTAGTCTGCGTAGGGATCGAGAGTGCGCGGTATTGGCCCTCGTTAAACTGTTCTTCTGTAAAGTGCTCGACTTCGCGAGCAGGTCGTTGGGCTACCGATTCTGGGGTGCCATCCTCTCTGCAAAGGATCAAAATTGCGATGGCATGTCTTCGGATCATCCTCAGGGATGTATCCCAGATCGTCGCCAATAGCCCATTGTGCAGCTCTAATGCGACGTAAATGAACAACTACAACCTACTTTTTCACTGCAACTACTGTAAAAATTAAATGAATTAGTAAGACATCATCTTTAAGTGTAAAATTAAAATTTTATAAATATAATAACACAAAACAAATTTCCTCTTATATAACTTATTGTGGTTGAAAAACTTTATTACAGATTTTGGGTTTGAATATAAAATTCTTTTCTTTCTTCTAGCACATTTGTCTGCCCAACAGAAATAATTTTATTCAGTGACAGAATTGAAGAGTTTAAAAGAATCAATTGCGAAGTCGTCGCTTGCTCGACTGACAGTCATTTCAGTCATTTAGCCTGGTAAGATATAAACATCTAAGTTGTATATACATTATGTGCAGGGTGTTCCGTAATGACTGTCCTTAACATGCGTCAATAAAATATTTGTCAAAAAAGAACAAAATACACACATTAGAAAATTGCAAATTAATTTTTCAGCCAGGAAAAAACGTTAAAAACATCTAACGAAGTATTAATGAGGAAAAAACATCAATACTTTTTTGATGTCAGAGGATCCAGTAATTTTTACTGGTTTTAGCCTTGCTCCATAATGTTTCTTAATAACGTTTTTTTTTCTCTTAAATATTAAATTGTTACCCGTAACGTATATATATATATTTATATAATGTCCGGCAAAGATTCTAATGTAAATTAATAAATTACGGAACAACCCCTTATTAGAAATTCCACGAAAAATTTACAGCCTGGAATAATATGCATAATGAGTGCTAAGTTGAAGCATTTTATTGTGCAAAATAAATCATCTTAAATTTAATTACTCTATATACTGCTTAGAAATTCCACGAAACATGTACAGCCATGTCGCAAAAATGGAATAATATGCGTAATGAGTGCTAAGTTGAACCATTGTGTTCATTAAGACACGGTTCCCAGTAGATCACCGAAGTCAAGCATCACTGGCTGCGGTCAGTGTGCGGGTATTAAGATGGTTTATTTTGTTGCTCAAAATAAACCATCTTAAATTTAATTACACCATATACTGCAGAGTTTAAATTAACAACTGAAGATTTTTAGCAAATTTGCACTTTATTATAGTTGAAGGTATCAATAATATGATTAAGCTGATTTTTTTTTTTTTTTTAAAGTTAACAATCTAAATAAACCGAAACAATATTTTTTTTTTTTTTTTGTCAAAAATTAGAATACTTAAATAAAAATACTTCTAAAGCTTTTTTGTTTGCATTACAAGTTTTTTTAAAAAATTACATTACTAAATTAGCATTTGCGTTGTACAGTTAATTTAAAAAAGATTTAATTATGTAAAATGTATTGTTGTTTTACCTCACAAAATTAGCATTTAACCATTTAAGTCAAGATCAGATTTTTTTTCTTTTTAAATTAAGGCATCTTTTTCAAATTTAAAGACAGAAATAGAGATTTTAAAATATTCTACATATTCTGGTGTATTTATTTTTATTACTCAAACCGGAGGCATTAGTGGTAAAACGTAACAATATTGCAAAACATAATTCGAAAATGTATCATATTCATTGTCTAAGTCTTAAAAAATTTATCTATGAAGCTTATTTTATTTATTTATTTTTTTTTTAATAGGATTAACACCCCACGGAAAGATGGTGGTTTAGGCAAAATGAACATTCCACTGTTAGCAGATAAAAACGCAAAAATATCTAAAGACTATGGAGTATATGAAGAAACTCAAGGAATTCCATTCAGGTAAATAAAATGATTATTTAATTTAGTAAAATGTATTTCCAAAATTAAATAAATGACAACCGGTCTATTTTATCTATTATACCTATGAGTTTAGCCAAAATTTTAGGTTTTTTTGCTGGAGCAACATTTTGAACCAACATTTGCGACCACAAAATTGTTGCGAACTCACAAATTTTCAGTTTTTTTTCTCCATTTATTTATTTATATTTGTTTTGTTTTTTTTTAATGACGGGCACTTGGAGCTATTGTCCATTGGCCACAGAAAGTGCCAGAACTGCTAATTCTCTTTTCGTTACCCAGTGGGCACCAGTGGCGAAGCCATGGCGGTAGAACAGCGTCGCCCACGTCACACTACCACAACCCGTTTATAGGGAGGGTCACATTCACACACAAAGGAGAAAGGACATAGAACACAGATAGAGGGAAAGAAACATCCATGCCTTGCCCGGGATTCGAACCCAGAACCTTTCTGATGCAAGGACAGTTCCCTGCCCCCTACACAGACTGGTCGGCCCATTTATTTATTTAATTTTAAATTTTCAAAAATATTTAATTTTGTGAAGTTTTTAAACATAAAAAGACTATTTTGATCCTAATGTAGATTTTATAAGTAAAAACTGTTTAAAATATGATAAAACTGTTTAAAATATAATAAAACTATTTAAAATATGATAATCAAAACTTTTATATTAAGCAAAATGGAGGCCGGGATAGCCTGGTCGGTAGGGCGCGGGACCCATGTCCGAGAGTTCGTGGGTTCGAACCCCCCCCCCCGGCCGAAAACTCCCCGTATAGTTGGTGACTGATGCACGTTAAAATTCTGTCGAGTCGCAAAGTCCTCCATATTCCCATAACAAATCAATACATCTGGGGGTACTGGGTTGGAAATCGATCGTTCTGATTCAGGTCAAAATTACGATCTGTGGACAGGGTGCGTAGCCAAATCTTTGAATCAAAAATAAGCACTTTTTAAAAACTTTTCAAGCACTATTATCACTAAGTTACAAAAGTTAAATTAAAAATAATGTAACTCTAGTGAAAAATATCAGAAAGTCTTTTTTTGAAATGATAATAATATTTGTTTTCTTGGAAAGGTGTGTCGTTTATGAAAGAGCAAAATCATTGATCTGTCTGGGTTTTTTTAAGAGGTACCTATCTTGTGAAAATTTAGACATAATTAGTGCAAATAAAAAATTATATTTAAAAAATCAACACAAAAATATGGTAAAGGAAGAAAATATNAAAAAGTGTTAAAAGTAAAATAAAATAAACAAGAATAAAATTAAATTAAATTAAAACGAAAAACATTTCATAAGGATCTGATATTCTCTATCCGAATTAGAGCACTCGGGTTTCGGTTTAAGTGTGCGCGCATGCGCAAGTCATAACGTGGGTACGACATGAAGTCCACGTGAATGATTACGTAGCAAACACCCCATTTTTCGTGAAATGCATGGGATCCATCAGATATCACTGAAGAAAAAAAAATTAATTGTGGAAAAAAAGCACTTTTTAAAAACACCAGCTGAAAAAAGCACCTTTGAAAGCTTTTAAAAACGAAATCCCCAAAAAAGCACCTTTTAGTACTTTTTACAAACGCTACGCGCCCTGGTGGATGAATGAATGAATGGATGTATGAATGAGTCCGCCTAATAAACAGGTGTGGCGTATGATGTGGCGAAAGTCGAATTCTTGGCCATAGATGGCGCCACTGAAAAACAAGAATCGCACTCTCTGGTTTCACCAAGCAGGCTTGCCCGTGTGGCAAGTGGCATTAGAACCAACCAACCAAGCAAGCAAAATGCCAGTTACAATTTTTCATTTAAGCTTAAATAATTGATTTCACATTTTTTAATTAAATACAATACAAGAAAAGTTACTAACTTCCTTTTACTATACATTAGAATTGTGCATTTTACAATAAAAAGCTTTAACCTCATTCTAATTTTCTTCATTTTTTAATTTTTAGAGGTCTATTCATAATTGATGAAAAAGGTACACTTCGACAGATTACAATAAATGATTTGCCAGTCGGAAGATCTGTAGATGAAACACTACGACTAGTTCAAGCTTTTCAATTTACAGATAAGCATGGTGAAGGTAAGATTTGTTTACCACAATACATATTCTGAATGTTTTTTTCTACAGCAGAGGGCGTTATCTCTCCCATTCTCTAGTGTTACTGTATTCGTTCAATTGACAACAAATCAAACTTTCATTTTGTGATGTAGCAAAGTTAACTGTTACTGAGCATAGAAAGTATATAAAAATATATAAAAAAATCTCCAGAATAAAAAGCCTTGAGCATATATGCTTAAATAAAAAAGTATTGCATACAAAATCATGTTAAACATGTGTGGGGATAGTAGTTATCGACAATGTCAACCTTCATGTATGTCAACCTTCATAGAATCGAGTTAACACGTCTTATATACTAGTAAATTGTAATTGTATTTTTGTAGTGGTAGACACACAACAGTACTCCCCCACCAGAAGTATAGCTGTGATAGAATTCGATGAACGGATACCACTAGTTGATGCATTGCTGTTTTGTGAGAAGTCGGGAGAGCTGCATTAAGATCACGGTCGTGGTTGCTCCTGCGTTGCCTTTAGCAGTCGAGTGAATACGTTGTACGTTGCGTGTGATCGAGACTGAGTAGCAACAGCGCAAAGAGGTGGATAATGTTGCAGTCACAAGTAGCAAGTCAACTGCTTAAGTTGGACAATCCATCGAAGTAGGCGTGTTCAGATTGAAATGGGCGTTACTGTCAAGATAGGCGTGTTTATATCGAATTGGGAGTTTCCGTCAAGGTAGGCCTATTCACATCACGTCCAAAAGTCACCAATGTGGAGAGAGTTGCTATCGACAATGTCAACCGTCATCTATGAAAAAGGTACCCCACCGTAGTATCGAGTTTACGTCTTATATACTAGTAAATTGGAATTGTATTTTTGTAGTGGTAGACACACCATGTAACTATTAAAACACTACAGTGCATCTAATAATTTGGTCTAATTATTATAATATACTAATATAATATCTGATATAATAAACATTCCATATTTATATAATATATAGTCTAATTTATCGAATAGTGGAATTTATATTACATATAGTTTAATTTAATCAATTGATACACGAACGTAAACAAGTGCATACCAATTTCAGTCGCATAAAAACAATAAAGCTGTTTAGTATAATCTGAAAATCAAGATTTTACATAGAATCTTATAGTGCCTCTTATAATTTGGTCTAATTATTACAATATACTAATATAATACCTGATATAATAAACATTCCATATTTATATAATATATAGTCTAATTTATCGAATAGTGGAATTTATATTACATATAGTTTAATTTAATCAATTGATACACGAACGTAAACAAGTGCATACCAATTTCAGTCGCATAAAAACAATAAAGCTGTTTAGTATAATCTGAAAATCAAGATTTTACATAGAATCTTATAGTGCCTCTTATAATTTGGTCTAATTATTACAATATACTAATATAATACCTGATATAATAAACATTCCATATTTATATAATATATAGTCTAATTTATCGAATAGTGGAATTTATATTACATATAGTTTAATTTAATCAATTGATACACGAACGTAAACAAGTGCATACCAATTTCAGTCGCATAAAAACAATAAAGCTGTTTAGTATAATCTGAAAATCAAGATTTTACATAGAATCTTATAGTGCCTCTTATAATTTGGTCTAATTATTACAATATACTAATATAATACCTGATATAATAAACATTCCATATTTATATAATATATAGTCTAATTTATCGAATAGTGGAATTTATATTACATATAGTTTAATTTAATCAATTGATACACGAACGTAAACAAGTGCATACCAATTTCAGTCGCATAAAAACAATAAAGCTGTTTAGTATAATCTGAAAATCAAGATTTTACATAGAATCTTATAGTGCCTCTTATAATTTGGTCTAATTATTACAATATACTAATATAATACCTGATATAATAAACATTCCATATTTATATAATATATAGTCTAATTTATCGAATAGTGGAATTTATATTACATATAGTTTAATTTAATCAATTGATACACGAACGTAAACAAGTGCATACCAATTTCAGTCGCATAAAAACAATAAAGCTGTTTAGTATAATCTGAAAATCAAGATTTTACATAGAATCTTATAGTGCCTCTTATAATTTGGTCTAATTATTACAATATACTAATATAATACCTGATATAATAAACATTCCATATTTATATAATATATAGTCTAATTTATCGAATAGTGGAATTTATATTACATATAGTTTAATTTAATCAATTGATACACGAACGTAAACAAGTGCATACCAATTTCAGTCGCATAAAAACAATAAAGCTGTTTAGTATAATCTGAAAATCAAGATTTTACATAGAATCTTATAGTGCCTCTTATAATTTGGTCTAATTATTACAATATACTAATATAATACCTGATATAATAAACATTCCATATTTATATAATATATAGTCTAATTTATCGAATAGTGGAATTTATATTACATATAGTTTAATTTAATCAATTGATACACGAACGTAAACAAGTGCATACCAATTTCAGTCGCATAAAAACAATAAAGCTGTTTAGTATAATCTGAAAATCAAGATTTTACATAGAATCTTATAGTGCCTCTTATAATTTGGTCTAATTATTACAATATACTAATATAATACCTGATATAATAAACATTCCATATTTATATAATATATAGTCTAATTTATCGAATAGTGGAATTTATATTACATATAGTTTAATTTAATCAATTGATACACGAACGTAAACAAGTGCATACCGATTTCAATCGCGTAAAAACAATAAAGCTGTTAAGTATAATCTGAAAATCAAGATTTTACATAGAATCTTATAGTGCCTCTTATAATTTGGCCGGGACTGTATGTACAAAAATTTAGAAATTACTTCTCAATTTCTTCCTTTATTTTTAGTTATATATATTTTGATATTCTATATAATGTTACATTTTACCTTCATTAAATTTTATTAACTTTTCTTCTAGTTTGTCCAGCTAACTGGAAACCTGGAGACAAATCAATGAAGCCTGACCCAGATGGTAGCAAAGAATATTTCAAGAATAATTAATGTCATATTTAAAAGCAGAGAGCATACCAAAACTAGATTAAAAGAATCTATTTGTAAAGGGATTACTAATAAAAGCAAATTCATTCAATTTTTAAAATAAACATATAAGAAAAAAAGTATCTTGATTATTGAAAATAATTGGCTTCTTTAGCAGTACGTTTTAAATTTAGAAGATGAAGAATGAAGACTAAAAGAAAGAAAATTATCTGATAATTAGAATATCTATCCTACATTTAATGTTAATAAGGGGAGGTAAGATAAGTAGACATCATAACTATGACACCTAGTTCCTTATCCCTTTCAAGGCTAATTTTTAATAAAGAAAGTGTTTCTTTTGGCAGCCCATTTGTTTTACCATTGATAACATTGCTAATAAGTCAGTTTTAAGAAAAATCTGGAGTCACTTCTTGCACTTAGGCCCTGAGATTTGTCCCATTAGTCTTTGTGAGTGACTAATGGCCCACGAAGAAAAAAAAACTGGATATATATATCCCAAGTCATATAGATAAGGTTGTTTTAATTGTTTTCACATGATAAACTTTCAAAATCAAGCAAAATAAAATTCAAAACAATGTAAAAGTATATAATTAATATTTATATTATAACACTAATTTTTTCTAAGCTCTATTTCAGTGATTTTTAGCAAAATGATACATAAATCTTCAATAATATGTGACTTTTTCAAAGCTATGCCATCATAACTGTTTTACAAGCGCTGCCAAACATCCAAAAGACTGCACAAATCTATTGTTAAAATGGGATCTATTTAGCCCAACAGTCTATATATCCCATAAAGTTCAAAAGGATTAACATCAAACTAATATCACATAATTATCTACTTTTTAGTGTTGAAAAACTTTTTAGCAAAAAATATTAATTTATTTTACATTATAAAGTAAATAATTTTCCTCATCGCGTTTGAGGAAGTGTATAGGTTTATATGAATCAAAGGAAATAAAATATGAACGCACCAACAGTAAAAGTAATATAGTCATAAGTCACTATCATTAAACATACAATAATAAAAACGCCAGCCAATTTAAAGATTTCAACAGAGTGAATACTACCAAGACTTGAAAAATCTTAAAATGTTTACACACCCTGTGGGGAATGTTAGTCAACAAAATACCTGCCTGAAACCTTTAAATGCGTAAGCATTTTTTAATGCATATTAATGAAAATGTATGATGTACTTATTAGTCTGTTGAGGAAAAAAATGATACTAACATATGTAGATAAACTTTTTATTTTCAGTTTAAATTTGAAGTATAATTAACAAAGTATTAGGTATTATTAAAAATAATTATAAATAATATAATAATTATAATAAATTTAGTACAAATAAGCATTGCACCTTATTTGCACTAAATAAGGTGCAATTTGGCTGCTTTGAACAAAAAAGCATAGATATATTAAATGCAGATTACTATCCTTAGCAAAGAAGCATTATCTGAAGTATAAAATATTATGGCAAGTGCATGCCTTTCAACATGCCTTCTTTCTTCTGAGGGAAACAAAACAACTAATATTCAATTAGGGCAGATGGATCAAAGTTAGGAGGTTTCATTTCCTCTTTGCTTATAACAGGGTATCTACAAGTCCCAAGCAGAAAAAAATTCAATGCCTCAAAACAAATTTTCCTGATCCTTTCTTCTCTTATTTTGCATTCAATTTTTTTTTAAATAAAAATTATTCAATTTATGTAAATGTTACTGAATGCATTTTGCATTCATGTGATTAGTAAAAATAAAAAACAACAGAAATTTTAAGATGGGCCATTAACAAAATACACTGCTGTATATATTGGGTGATATTTTAGTAACATGCTTTTCTGAAACATAGGTTCTGTATAAATTCAAATTATGTAAAACATTAACACACTTAACAAATATTTATAGTTTTCATAATACAAAAATATAGTTGACAGAGTAAAAATAAACACATAATTATACACAAAAGCAATGTTTTATTTAAAAAAAAATCTTTAATAAATATAGCACAAGCAAGTTAAATATGCAACATTTAAAATACATTTACAAACATTTAAAATATGCATATTATAAAAAAATTTTACTTTATAACAACCTTTAAATGATCTGCACTGTTCTTATTCTGGTTTTAATGCCACAAAAAGTAGGCTTACAATATATACTATTAGAGAAAATTTTGCTAAACGCAAAATAGAATGATAAAATTTCTTTGGGTAAAAAAACTGGCAGCTGAAGACATTTATTGCAAATTATGTCATAAATAGCTCAAACGTTATAGGCAAAAGTGTACTAGGTCAGATTTATCTATTAAGAACTAATGAGTGAATTGCTACATGTAGGGAGTAATGATTTCACCAAACAAGTGGGCAATAAAATTTGTGAAACAGTTTATTAACTATCTCAGAAGTTTCACAACAATTTTCAAACATATATTATATTGGACTGTTTTATATAAATTAGTCAACATAAAATTGGCTACCAAGAACTTCGTACTAGGATTTGAAAAATTTCACACTTTCTAGATGCACAGCTGGACACTTTATTCAACATAATACATAAGGAAATTAAATGTTTATATGCCCGATTGTTTTGATTGCATATCAATGAAAACATATAAAAGTACCTATTATTACTGTATCAAACAAAATGACATTAATAACATATTATTTATATCAACATTTTTAGCTTAAATACAAATCATAAATATGTATTACTACCAAAGAAGTACTAGATATTAGTAACAAAGAAGAATTAAGCATGAATCACATACTAATTATATCAACACTTTTAGTTTAAATATAAATCATAAATATTATATATTATTACTAAAGAATTACTAGATATTAGTAACAAAGAAATGTTAAGCATGGATCACATATTATTTATATCAACACTTTTAGTTCAAATATAAAGCATGAATATTATTTGCCATTACCAAAGAAGTACTAGATATTAGTAACAAAGAAGTGTTAAGCATGAATAAACATTGATTGAGTAAAATACTGAGCTATATTTTTAACAAAGAAGCAATAAATTCAAAATTATTATCTAAGCATTATTGACAAGAACATGCTCTTCAACAAATTACTTTTAAATCATGATATAAACTTTTATATCAATTATTTTCATTTTCTTAGTGATTCACATGAAGTTTTTTTAATTAAAAATAAGCATGACTAGGGAAATAAAAAATAATAAGCTTACTTTGGCTCATACTTAAATTTTATTTTGCTCATATTTTATTTTAACTCAGATATTTAAAAAAGTAAACATTTGGAATTATATTATTTGATATAAATAATTTTTAAGCATATTTCAAATGATTTAAATACTCAGAATATTTGTGAAAAGAAATTATTAATGGGGAAATAAGAAATGAAAAATTTGATTGATAATTTCATTTGAATGCCTGTTTAAAAAGTTAGAAATGCAACAGTAAAACAATGGTGAAAAAGAATGCAAATATTTTTCCCCTTCTTTGATGGATGAATAATTAAATAAGCTTAGAAAAATTTACAGGCCTGAACAAAGCATTCAGTTTATTTCAAAAAAAAAAAAAACTTTTCACAAATTATAAAAGGTTTGTACTAGTTCTATTAATTATAATACAATTATCATCTACAGTGTTATATTCAGTTATTTAGCTACATTTGCATAAATGGTATTAATGTTATACTTGGTTTATAAATATATAATGTAGATATGCTCTCTAAAAATCTACTTAATTTAAATAATTTTAATTTGATCCAGAGACTGGGGAAGTTTTGAACAATGAGCATACACACTGATTTGACATGTTCAGAAGAGTGGAAGGAATATTATGTAATGTTAAAAGAATATATTACATCTAATTAATAAAGCTTACCTATATCTAATGTGCAATTAGTTAAAACTTTTCCACAAAGAAAGTAATAATATTGATCAAATTATCTCAGAAAATGTTATGTGTTTTTAGTAGCTTGGGGAATTGACAAGTCTCATGTTACTAAGATCTATTATTATTTACATATATTGTCTACATCAAAATTTTAAAAACTTTCAATTTTATAAATCAACTTTAAGAAACTAAAATCATACTTGATTACAAAGATGATACTGCCTCCCTATTGATATTTTCAGAGCTCTGAAGACATTAGATAAAATGTTCAACTCCGACTTCACTTCAATAATTGTCTATTTTTTATTTTATATCCCACTAACGTTCATTATGTGATATTTTAATTAAAATTAAATTTTCTACAATAATTGAAGAAACATAAATTATTTCAGGATAAAATATTAAACTTCTGCAACAAAAAAAAATCCAGAAAAAGAGCTCGACTCAAAATGATCACAGAATTACTCTTATATAAATTAAACATGAAAATTATATTTGTCAAAAGATTTTTTAATACATATTCAGGAATAAATGATACATTTGTTTGAATTTTTCTTTTAATAAACTTTTTAAGCATTATTGAAACTCAGATAACCAAATTTAGTTTTGAAATTTATGAGTTGTAATTAAGAGTTACATAAATTCTTCCAAAACAATTTAGAATTCGACATAGCAAAACAAAATATCATTTTTGTCTTAATGTCACCAAATTATTGTAACTGAAAAAATTTAATGCTAATAGAAGTACTTTGATATAATTTTCATGAAAAGTGGCAGCAATTTTAATTTTCGCAAACAAAATTCATATAAAAAGTGTTCTTATTTTCTTTTTAATTTTTTATAAATAATTAACAGTTTTACAATTAACATTTAAAAAAAATGTCTATAAACCTAATTTTCATGTAAGTAAAATAAAACAATTTTGAAACTAAGACAAATAATATCCAAATTTCTCTTCAAACAAAATTTAATTATTAATTAAGTAATTTTCAGACATAAGTGGACTAAAAAAAAATTCATATTTATATCAAAATCCAAACTTGCTCACCACTATCGATATCAATTGCTATACTTTTATATTGCCTTAAAGTCATGATGCATATAGATTTGTACCTAAACTCTATTTCAGGCATAATATAAGTAGATCAAATTATATTATGCCTGATTAGATGTAAGATTTTTTTCTTATTTTTTGATAATGGAATGCTTCTTTTACCAAACATGACATTTTATTTAGCTTACAAATTTCAAA